TGGCCAGGCCATGGAGCGAGACTTCGGTGGAGTCGAACTTGGCGAAAGCCCGACCAAGGTCGCTCTTGCCACCGCGGGCAAGGCGAACTGCGATCCGACACAACCGCTCAATGCGGGAGCGAACGCCCTCCTGGCAGGGCGAGGCCGTGGCGCGGACTCGGGCTTCGGCGGGAGCGAAGCTAGGGTGACCCAGCGTGAGCCAGTTCAACGCAATAACGGAATACTGCGCAAGAGTCCGTGCCGCGCGCCTGAGCCGCCAACGCTCCCTGCGCCTCGCTGACAGACCATCAGGCGGGGGACCAAGAGGTGGGGCAGGCGGACACGGCCAAGGATCGCGGGGAGGCGGCCCCAAAAAATACGGGTCGCCCCGATCCAACGCACGCAAAGATGAGCGGGAGAATGAGCCCAGTGAACAACGAGCACCCATCCCGACCTGAGACAGCGCAGCTGCCCAGTGGGTGATATCGATGTCTGCGCCAGGAAAAAGACGCAGCAAGGAAGACACGTCAGCGACAAAGGGCGCGACTTTAGCAAGGGCAGCGGGGGTGCACGCGACAGGACGCGCGCCAGCAAGGACACCGCTCTCAGGGGCTGCGCACCCCGTGCGGGGGGAGCTCGACTGAGGGCAGTGGTGGCCAAAATGGCCGGGTGGATACGAGGGGCGGCTCGGAGCGAAGCGAGAGGCGTGATGGCGGAACGAACTCCTCCCTGCGGGGCCGCACCAGCATCGCTGGAAGAGCGCATTCCTACCCTCACGGCCTCGCTGCGCCCAAGCGCGCCTAGCAGCCGCAGCAGCGTCAGCACGGACTGACTGCGGCGCTGAACCTCGGCCACTGGAGGCAGCTCCCTCGCAGGTGACGGGCAGCAGCGGTCCCGTCACTGCTTCTGGGGTGGCACCTTCGGTACCTTGGGAGGCACCTTTGGAGTCCTGGGCTGCTTGGGTACGTGAGGCGGCTGCTGGGGAAGCGCGGCGGCGCGCTCGGCGTCGAGGCGCGTCCGAAAAACCTGCAGCTCCTTCATGTACTCGCCCTGCGCGGACAGCCAGCGGAAGTCCACGAGGGGTGAAAACGGGGACTGCGCCTCGCGCTCCGTGTGCTGACTGGTGACGCGACATGGAGTGGGCTCCACCCCCGTGAGGAACCATGCGGCCTCTAGGCAGCCGCGGTCCCCCGCCTGCTGATCGATGAACATGCACTGGCAGGTCAGCAGCGTCTGAACCCCGAGCGGGTCTCGCACGGCGGGACCGTGCTGCGCCAAGGTAGCATGCCAAGCGCGCCGCCGTGCGATCCCCCGCATCTGAGTGGACGAAGAGTTGAGGTCGCCCGAAGATGCGGACGGGGCCTGAGCGTAGTCGCTCAGAAACCCCAGTAGCGGATGAGCTGCTGGGCGGGAGCCCCGCCCCTGCTGCAGGGCTAGGGCTGGAGACTGATGCAAGCACATCAGCGCCATGCTGAGGTCCGACTGGGGAGCCGCAGGAGGCGGGTCCACGGCGTCCGCGCCGCCCGCCTCGGCGAAGCCGCCGACCGAGGCAAGGTCGTGTTGCCCAGGCGGAGGCGCGGGGCCCAGCGGCGAAAGGCTTTGCTGATGGCCTTGGGGTGGCCAGGGGCAATGCAGCCATCCTGTCGGCCACGTCAGCCAGGTCCGAAGGAACCCCGAGCGACCGCGGCAGGTCGTGAGCGCTCGAATGACCCGCTGAGTCTGACAGGGGCGCGGGAAGGTCGCCGCGAACCCTGGGCGCCCGCAGCACGTCGCGTGGACTCGAGCAGATAGCACCGCTCGTAGGAGACACGAAGGCGGCCGGCGACGCGTCGAGTCGGCGCAGAGAAGAAGGGCACCGAACGTGGGCTGACGACGTCCCGTTGCCAACGCGGGACGCGCCCGCGCCACATGGAGTAGGATTTCGTGCACCTGACACGTCGACCCCGCTCGCGGGACAGGTCGGCGGCCAGAGCCCGCCCGGGTCGCCCGTGCAGCCGAACTCAGAAGTAGACTCTGCCAGCACCGACGCTGTGTCGGGCGGGGGCGTGGGGGGGTCCCCATGCACCCCGAGCGACCGCGGCAAGTCGCAAGTGCCCGAGCCCGCAGCACCGCGCGAAGGCACAGCGGCGGCGGGTGGAGGAGTAGCCTGGCAAGCAGCCGCAACGAGAACCCCCCGTGAAACAGCGGCATCGGCGGCTGACGCCATCGCATATGTCCTCATGTGGGGCGGCAGGGCTGACAAGGATGAGGCTGGATCCCCGAATAGCCCGAGCGAGTGCAACAAATCGCGGGCGCCCGCACGCGGGGATGGACCACTGGCGGCGGGCGCGCCGACACCACCCACGAGGCTGGTAGGCGGTGGGAGCCCTCCGAAATCACCATACCAACCCAAGTCACGGGCAGCGCACGCCCAAAGCGAGGCGGGATCAACAGCGGTACGGTGGAGCGACGGGAGCGCCTCTGGGTCGGCGAGACCTGGCGGCGGCCCCGCCCGCCCGGCTTGGAAGGGCGATCCACCACC